TTCATTAACACAGCGTATTTAATCTATTTTTTTAATTTTTAAACATATTTATTATCATTAATTGATTTTCTTAAACTGTAATACAATTTTTTCTCTTATATATAAAAACACAGAAAATAAATACTATGAGTCTCATATCAAAGAGCTACATTAATAGAGTATGGTTTATAAGTCAATTAAACACCCTCCTCCTATGAGGTGCCTTTATGAGATTAAGTTCTATCCAAAGGGTTTATGATCATGATATTGGTGCACTCATTAAGAGTCGTTATTTGCAGAAAGGGCCTCCTAATAAAAGATTGACTTGCCAAAGGCTAAGTGAAACACCATGGAGCATGAGTCTTCACAAAAGCCAGCTCTTGAGAATGAGTTATGTTATAAGTCTTACATCAAAAGGTTACATTAGTGAAGTGTGGTTTGCAAGTCAGCTAGGACCCTCCCCTAATGAGGAGCCTTTTGGGGGTGAGTTCTACCTAAAAAACTTGTGGTCGTGATAATAAATCACATAAATAAATTTTTATTACACATTTTTTCTTGAATGTTGGAAATAAAAAATGTATTGTTACAGTATGTATATTTAAGATGAGCAAAGCTAAGAACTTATTAAATTTTTAAACAAAGTTAATAAGTTTTAAAGTTTTATTAAATTTTGGTTTAATTTTGTTGAAAGTTACTTATAAATAGGATTCAAAATAAATTTGTAGAATAATTTTTCATAATAAGTTTTGGAAATAAGAAATGAAAAAAAATTATTTAAATAATTATTTTAAAAAATATATCTAAATTAATGAAAAAAGGAGTAAAAGAATAATTTATTTTATTAATATAACTGTCATTAATGATGGCGTGATACTTTCCGTCTTGTCCCTAGTTTCGCATAACAAATGAAACAAAACATTTTTTTTAATATATTCTGGTTTTTAAATATTTCAGAACGACTTTTTTTTCTCAAAATAGTTAGCAGTAACACAATTTTATTTTATTTTTCATTTTTTTTCAAAACAAAAAAAAAAATTCTAAAAATAAGTAGTTAAATGTGTCATTTTAGACCAGACTCTTATAAGTCCTTCTAAAATGGGCTCAAGCTAACTATGTTAACCCCTATATTTTTTCCCTCTTTTTCTTGTTAGCATGTGATTAAAGTTATTTGATTAAAATCAATCATAAGTAAATTATTTGATTAAAAAAGTTAATATTACAAAATAACATGATTAAAATTGTTTGGTTTGACCCAATTTTTTAAATCACGTATCAACATGAGTAATTTTAAATAAAAATAAAATAAAAAGTTGTATAGATTTTTGGGTCTTGCGCCTAACACTATGTTTGAGAGATTTTTTTAGAGAAAAATGCAATGAAGTGGGATAGCTAAAAAAATATAAATTATTGTTTGTGAGTTTTACTTAAAAAATGATGGAATGACAAAAAAGGCCTCTAAAGCCCTCCTTTGCTATTCATAATTCAATATTTTTTGTCCTCCAAATTGAGGGTCAAGGATGAAGTGATACAGTATAATCACTTCATTTATAAAATTACCCCCAATCTTCTATTCTAATAATAAAAAGAATCTCATATGTTTTTTTATTTTTCAGTCATCTCTCTCATCTGCTGTTAGAGTTGCACATGGATAGAGTCAGGCCAAGCATCACTCCAACTTAGTGCCCAGCCAAATGTGCACTTGAGCATCAAGTTAGCCCGATTGGCTTTAAAATATTTTTAGAAGTATTTTTTAAAAAATTTATAAAAATTTTTTTCTTGAAAATAATAATAATATTTAAAATATATTCTTTATAAAATTAATATTAGAATTAAAAGTAATTTTTTTTCAAGTTCAAAGGAACAGCAATTGCCAATTATTTTTATATAATAATAAGCTAAAAATAAATTTTAAATTTTGAAAGAGATTTAAAACATTGTATGATAAAATACTTATAAAGGATCATAAAAATAATATAATTCATAATAATTTTTAATAAAAAAACTTGCGCATGTTTGAAAAAGGTAAGGTTTGACCCTTGTCGTGGCTCTGTGTACCCTAATGTTTCCAACAAGGCTAGGCTATGTTACGACTGTTGCTATTGCTATTATTACTTTATTTTATTTCACTCTACTCCATTCTATTTCGTTTAATTTCAATGACTGCTCTTTTCTCATCAGTTATAAACTTTCAAACGTCCTCTAAACCCTATTAATAATAGCCAACCTTAAAGAATATAATCAATTTAGGATTTGCGGGCTTATGGGGGTGAGCCTTTAAAAACGTGGCTTGTAGTATCCAGCCAACCTTTATTGATGACCTCTAACTCCAATGCAAAATACATAAATGAATAAATATTTAAGTTATTTTTATGTTTTAATTTTATTTGTAAAGCCCTCCCTTTAGAACCGTCAATTTTAAGCTCACAAGTCATGACGCAACTAACTTGCACGAACAAGGCTTCCTTCCACAAGCAAACCAATTGACTTTAATTTGATATAGTAGAATATTTGGTATGCTGTTACCTTACTCTTGACTTGAGTATTAATATGCTCCCATATTTGCTCCTTTATTGGAGAGAGAAAGGCATATGGCCAAAGGTATGCGTGGGTTTTACTTGTCCTTTCATATTCTCTCATGTATGTTATATTCTTTGGATATTCATGATTAAAAATACTATTATTCGATACATTGTCAAATATTAAATATAAATGTACGTCCCATCAGGAATTTAAACAGTGATTTATCATGTATGAGAAACCAATTCTTTTTAATACAATCTCATCAATTTCTTACATGTTATGATGCTTCACTTAAATATTGAATCAAATGGGGTTTGGTTTTTCATTGTGACAAAATTATAATTGAGACTTTTTTTATGTGAAAACACTTGTTCTTCTCATGGGACAGGACAAATATGGTCCATTGAATTAATGTAACGTCAATGGAATCCCTTGAAGTAAGCTAATGCCATTATGATCTCAGTGGACTCATCTAACAATTAAGGTTACTTCGTGAGATGGCAATATGACTCTTCATGTTTTATGAATACAATAGCAAGTGACCTCTCATGGATAACAATTTTAGTTTTCGGTATGAACAACAACGAGTTTGAAATTAACAATTCATTTCCATAAAATTAATTAAAATGTCTTTCCTCATGGGTAACTTGAAACAAAATAAGAAGTAGCCTCTCACGAATAATGGCTTTCGTTTTCAGCATTAACAGCTAATAACCTGAAAAGTTAATGACAAGTTTCCTTTCGCAAATAACAACATTGGTTTTCAACATTAATAATTTTATAGGCTTGAAATTAGCAACTCCTTTTGACAAAGTCAATTACAAGATTGCAATTTTTTTTTTTTGAGAAACTTGAAACTGAATAAAAAGTTGCCTTTGAGGATAACGACTTTAGATTCAATGGTAGCAACCATGGCTTCAAAGGCAACAACTTCTTTACCTCTTTTTCCCCTTATTACGCAGCAAGGTCATTTTGATCATTTCAAAAAAAAAAAAATATTGTCAGATAAGTCCATGGGATTGCAATGGAATTGCTAATTTTGTAGGATTTCATTGACATTTTCTATATTTTGTTGTTGTTGTTGTTGTTCTAAAATCTTCTTCCGTTTGTATGATTGATGTTGTTGATAGATGGTATTACGGTGGGAATCAATGCCTCTGACAGTGGATGGAGATTTTGACAGTCTAGGGTTTTTTTAATAAGGATATTTTGGTCTCTTCATTATATGCATATTTTTTATTTTAATAAAAATTATAACATGATTCCATATACATACTAAACATATTTTTTAACTTGATATCTATTTTTATATCCATTTTTATTTTCAATAAAATCATTTTCATGGCACCAAATGAGGCATAAGTGTTTTTTTCCCTAATGCGAGATCACGGCTCATGAATCGAAAGATCAATAATTTGATGCAACTTGAGCTTGGGTGTAAAATGTGGAGCATTTTAGAAATATCTCTTGGGGCCGTTTCAAAGTAGTGATTTGGGCCTAATATCTTTAAAAAGAACTTTCCAACGTAATCCTTGGATATGCAAAGGCCCAAGTCACCTAATGCTTGAAGTAACGTCTAACATCATTGTAAGCCCAAAAGATTAATCAATATCCTTGTTTCTGGCCTATATCGATTCTAATTCGATAAAACGATCAGTTAAAGATTAAAACAAAGAAACCTTACATAGAATATATATAAAAGGACCCACACAAATACCATAGGACACAAACAAAAACCGATAAGAACAAACAAGAACTACACAGTATACTAGGATCTCATGAACTTGGAAAACCGACAATAGAGCGCCCGAAACACACAAGAACAAAATTGGACCGAAGAACGAGAACAATGAAGAACAACACATGGCCCACAAGTTAGGCACTTAGCCCATAAAGTAAACATCGCGCGGCTTTTCCCAGCCCGAATCTCCGAAGTAGTTTTTTCAATTTGTGATACCTTGATAGAGAGAGATTAAAAATAATGGAATAATATTTTTTAAAAAACTTTCTCTAGTTTATCAATTAAATATTTGAATTTTGAATTAATATAAATCATTTATTATTATTTATTTTATTGAAAAATTATAAAAATAAATTGTATCAAATTAAAAAAATTAGAAAGATTGAATTGTTCTGAATAAAAAAAATACAAAAATTAAGTTGTTTCAAGTTAAAATTTAAAAACTAAAATGATAATTAAAAAAAATTCAACGACAATTATTATATATATGTATGAAAGTAGAATATTTTATTTAATTTAAATTATTTATGAAAATTCTCTTATTTCTTCTTTTATTTTGTGGCGATATCTTGAAAAATCTAAAGATGTTACCATCATTTGTTGAAGCTAATTCGAACTTACATTTCCTCATTTCTAGTCGGGAAAAAAAAAGTATCCGGAAAAAAAAAAAGAAAAGAAAGACTAGAGGATGCAATCAATGGATTAATATACTAATAGACATTTATAATAAGAAGTTGCTTAATGGCTATGGGTGAGACTGTGTCCTACCAAGCGCAAGAGCAAGCACAAGAGGCTGGACAAGACGGCGGACGCAATAAGCAACTCGATTACTAAACTAAACAGCATCTCTTCTTGCTTATTCCGCTGCTCACAAACCCACGAGCTGGCCAAACACTCTGTAATCCACCCCGCCTGCATTCTCTCTCGGTCTTTCCAAAGTCTTCCCTTTCTTCCATCTCCATCCCTTCTCTTCTCTGCATGCATTTTCATCAAACCCATTTCCTCCTTTCGTCAGAGGTTCACTTTTAACTCTCTGAATATTCACTTGGCCCGTTACTTCCTCCATTTCCATGGCTCTTTACTCTGCTACTCTCTGCTGCAGAACCGTCCCTTCCCGAAATTCAGTCAAGTTTGGTCAACCCACTGTCAAACCATCGGGGTTTTCTTGCCCTCTTTCCCCTCCGATTGTCCGATTGAATGTCAAAGGTATTCGAATTATGACACTCATGTTTTCTGTTATTAATTTGAGCCTGATCAAGTGTTAGTGCACTATCTGCGTCATTTTGACATAATTGTGGGGTTAGGTGATGCTAAATAGCTTTGAATTTAAGCAGTTCGAGTGCTTGTTTATTGTAATTTTCATTCCGGGGACGTCAATTTTGTTAGGGAATGCACACTCTGGTGATGCGGCGCCTGAAACGAAGGGATCGCCGCTTGTGGTTTGCTTTGGGGAAATGCTCATTGATTTTGTTCCAACTACCAGTGGGCTTTCCTTGGCTGAAGCTCCTGCTTTTAAAAAAGCTCCAGGAGGTGCCCCTGCTAATGTTGCTGTAGGCATAGCTCGTTTAGGTGGCTCGGCAGCTTTTATCGGGAAGGTATCACAAAAATATAACCTTTATTGAAACTAAATCATACAGCCGATAGATACTGACCTTGATTGAAGATTTCGACCCCATTTCTTGCACCCAGATGATGCATGCAAAGAATAGCCATATTTCTTTACAACATTTTACATAGTGAGTCGGGGACCTTGGGTGATTGACATATATAGCCTGTGCTAACTTACCTTTTTGTTTAGATCTTGTCTGTAGCGCCTATAATACTGAACCTTCAGGCATCAAATGTCTTAACGTCGTATCCCCTTTATTATTGGTCAGTTGATCAGTCCCCTTACATGAGAATCATCCATATTAGATACAATATCTCTAATAAGCTTCACCATTCATGAGTTATGAACAGCATGACTCATCTAAGCCGTGCATAGGAAGATGTGTCTCATTTCTTATTAATGAAAATTTTATAATATGCTCTACCAAAAAAAATATATTAGGGAGAATATCAATAAAGGACTTTGGAACCAATTTAATTTCATAAAAGGACTGCTAACAAGTAAATATTAATAATTGACAAGTGAAGTTTTTATTTTAACAAATATTTGATCCATCCAGGACTTTATTAGATATTAAATTCTTTTAAAAGTCCTTCATTATTATTCTCCCAATATATTATAATATGTGACTCAACTAATTTTTCCACGCGTGCTAAGAAAAAGAGTTGTCTATAATTATGCTCTTACGGCTGTTTCTCAGTCTTAACTGTTGAAAACTTTTAGTGCTAGGTTTGGATTATCATATGATTTTCCCAATAATTATCATGCACAGTAGTTGTTATTTACTGTTATTAGAACTTAGTGAGCATACAGTAAAATGTTGAATTGTAGGGAGCCCTAGACTCCAAGATTCGAATCTTTGGTGCTCATCTGATCACATAATAATGGAATGTTATATGCCTTTGAAGATGAATGTAACTATGTAAACTCAGTTCATCTATTATTGAAGCTAGGAGCCCCAGAATTTAATGTAATCTGCTAATGAATAGAGATAGCTTTTATCTATGAATACTCGACCTTGAATTATATTGAATGTTTGAGTGATAATCTACTTCATAACTTAGAGGTCATACCAAAGATTTCTCTGCCTTATTTATTTAACAGCAGTCAAATGCTTCGTTGTACTTAACAGGTTGGAGAGGATGAATTCGGTTACATGCTTGCCAATATATTGAAAGAAAATAATGTAAACAATGAAGGGCTGCGTTTTGACCCTGGTGCACGCACTGCATTGGCATTTGTTACTTTGAGGAAGGATGGAGAAAGAGAGTTCATGTTTTATCGTAATCCTAGTGCTGATATGTTGCTTCAAGAAGCTGAACTTGATTTTGGCTTAATAAAGAAGGTAACTGTACCAACTGACTGTATTGAGGTCATTCTGATTGTCACACAGAATTAGTTTAACCACCTTTTGGTTTCTTCAAGTTTACATAAAATGGAAAAATGTTTTTCTGTATTTCCTGCTGATGTTGTCCATTTTGCCTCTATAATTTGATTCATCAATTGATTATGTTAATATTGGTTTATCTGGCAGGCCAAAATATTCCATTATGGTTCTATAAGCCTCATTACAGATCCATGCAAATCAGCACACATAGCTGCCACAAAGACTGCGAAAGATGCAGGTGTAATTCTGTCTTATGATCCTAACCTGAGGCTTCCTTTATGGTCTTCTGCAGAAAGTGCCAGAGAAGGAATTCTAAGTATATGGGAGGCAGCAGATATCGTTAAGGTTGGTCCCCTGCCAGTTAGGCTCAGTATACTACCATATATCCTTCAGTTCACAGTAGATTTTTCTTGTTTCCTTTTCTAGAATGCGGACTTCAGGGGAACAGAGAATCAATGCCATCTGTATTGACACAAATCTGATTAACTATTTTCAGATAAGTGAAGAAGAGATTTCTTTCCTCACAAAAGGAGAAGATCCCTATGATGATGCTGTTGTTCGCAAACTATTCCATCCAAACCTCAAGTTACTACTTGTTACAGAAGGTCCAGATGGTTGCAGATATTACACCAAGGTAAGCCTTCCAAAGATGCTTGTTACAATGCTTTTCAACTCATCTGCCCTAACTTGTTTGTTGACCACCCTCTGACTTATCTTCAATATCATAAATGAGGATACTAATGGTGAGCAACTAAGTTATTGCTGCACCGAACAGCATCTTTATTTGTTTTTTCCCAGCTTAAGATGTGAAACAGTTTATTCTTGAGCAAAATAAATGAATAAATCATTTTGACATGTTGATTAATCAACAAAAACCTAAAGCCATTACCGTTATGCAAACAAGAAGAATAATTTTTCCATCTACCGAAACAGCATCTGATTAATTCTTAACAACTATGTAAGTTGGTACAAATATTTAAGATTCAAACACATACAGCATCTTGACATGCAACAATCATCCCTCTGGAGGTGTGACTAAGTGACTTGAATTCTGCTCAAATTGTGCAGAATAGTTGGAACTAAAATATATGGAAGATAATATTAGAATTTTTCTGTGTTTTAAAATTTATATATGCTTTTGAATAGGTAGCAGTCAACTGATATAAGATTCTAGGAAATTTATAAGGAAGGCCTTAAATGACTATTTTTTTTTCCTCATATATATGTAACTGATTTTCTTATGGGGAGTATGTGCTGCATGTAGCATGTGACTTAACTTCTAACGTTGAAGCATTTGGTAAAGTTCATTTAGCTACGATCTTGCTGGTTATAATAAATTCTTGTCAATAATCATTTGAAAATTTTCGTAACTCTTTCCTTTCAGGACTTCAGTGGAAGAGTCAAGGGATTTAAGGTGGATGCTGTTGACACTACCGGTGCTGGCGATGCTTTTGTGGCTGGAATATTATCACAATTAGCTGTAGATCTTTCTTTGCTTCAGGTAGGCGAGATGTTTTTGTTAATAAGACAAACCATTTAACTTTGATAACCCTAAATATTGGAGAAAAATGGGTGGGTTCATCAACATGAGAGTTAATTTGATGGCAATATTTTCCTGGACAACACATAGTCTTGCTTGTCAGGTATTTGTTAAACATCACGAAACCTAACAAAAATTGAAGAGAAACCCTACATAGAATGGAGTATCAATTTCTTTTTTCATTTCTGACAATCTAGCTCTTTTGAGTGTTCTGTAAGGCAGCAATGGAGGTTAAGAGAGAATCAGTGATTGTAATAATCCAAATAGCAGCCAAAGACATAACTAATTACCACATGTCAGGTTGCGGTCAGAACAATGTTGTTTTATGCTCAAGTTTCTTAATAAAAATGCATTAATTAGAAAAACCACCATATTCCTACCACTTTAACCAGCCTGATCATGTACTTAGTATTCTATTATTTGGCCTATAATGAGAAGATAGTTCCTACTTGGGTAATGATACTTAGGTCGTCTTTGAGAACAATCAAAACAAATTCTGCGATTATGTTGTTAGATTTATTTGTCTACTATGTCTTTGATATGCTGTATGAATTTGCAGAATAGTCTCACTTTGAATTTCCAAAAGTTTGCATCTTACATCTCTAGATCTAGAAATCCATGTCATGTAAAATACTACCTTTGTCCCAATTTATAAGACACTTTTAGAGGAGATTTGATATCTCTAAATATAAGGTACTTTGACAAAAATAAAGTTACATTAATCATATTTTTTCAATATTACCCTTCTCCTTATATTTTCTCTCTTTAATATCCTTTCATAAATGGAATATTAAATAAAGGGAATTCTTGAAAGTTTATATTTTTTTCTTAAAAAAATAAGGTTATAAGGTGTATTTAATGAACTTACTGAGATATGTGATTTTATCTAAAAGTATCTTGTAAGTTAGGATGTAGGAGGGAGTACTATATTACTATTTGAATTTTCAAATAGATTTTTCTTTATTTTCTTTCACAATATGTGCAGATCTTATTATTGCCAGCTTATTCCTGTCACTTGGGGGAAAACTGAAAAGGAAAAACTATCAAAATGGCTTATGTTAAAATCACCTCCCTTCACAAGTCCCCATTCAACTGAGTATTAGTTGCCAATGATCATCGCCCATTTAAATGTGCATGTAACGTCACTGATAGTAATCAGTAATTACAGATACCGACATACTAATGACTGTTAGTCTATCTTTACCAGGCTGGCTCATATTTCAGCGTTTCTCCCGTTTATTTTCCTTACTTGCACATGGTCAGGATATAATATGAAATGCCTATAACTGGTGGATTTGTGCCCCAAAAACAAAAAAAAAATGCCCATTGTCCATGTCTATGTGAAATGTGACAGTTTTAGATTAACTATTGATAGCTTAACACCCCCCCTCCTTTTATTTAGGCTTGGGATTGGCTATAGGGTAGAGTTAACTATTGGATTATTTATCACTTAAAAATAGTTAGCGGTTTCGTTTGTTCGAGTCATGTTTGAGGTCAATCTTAAATTTTTCTCATTCTATTTGCATTTGTCTCACTTTTTAATTAACAGCCTCAAATGTATTTAGTATATTTCACGAATTCAGTAACTTCATTTTTACATTCTAGATGTCATCTGGGTTGTGTGTGTGTGTTTTTTCCATTACATTCAATTCCTTCTTTCTCACATCTCTTTGTTTCCTAAAGACCTAAGTGCGTGGTTTAATTGCAGAAAGAGGAAAAACTGAGAGATGCCCTAAAGTTTGCTAACGCCTGTGGAGCATTGACTGTGACAGAGAGAGGTGCAATACCAGCTTTGCCTACAAAGGAAGCTGTCTTCAATGCCATGCTTAAGTCAGTATCGTAAATTTACAACCTAATCTCTCTAAACAATGAGGCATTTTCATTGCTTTTCTGAAAATTCTTTTGGCACCTACTGGCTTTTCTGAAGTAGATTAGAACAATTTTGTTTCAATAAAAAGCCAGGAATCATACTTGTGTCATATCACTGAATAATGAACTGGACCTGGATTCCTGATAGCCTCTGTCAAGAATTCATTTCAACATGGGTTTTGAACTTTTGGTATATACCAAATTGGAGTGCTTCTGTTTGCATGCATGTGCAAGTTTATTCTTACTGAATATATTTGATGGGGACTAATGTAATATTAAATGTAAAATGTCCAATTAGTGTGAGCTGTTATGTAGGATACTTATTTTTCCATGTGAATTGCAACCTTCTAAGAATGTTCCTACCAATCCAGTGGCACCAAACACTTCTTCGAAAGGAGAGATTGTGGTTTCGGACTCCAGAGTGAGCAAGTAAATGTGACTCTGCGTGAGTGTGTGCGCCTCTCTTCTTATAGAAAAAAAGTTTAGATTACTTAGAAGTTAAATTTTTTAAAAAAATTCCCCAGGGAGCTCAAGTTTTTTGTTAAAAAAAATATTGGGGTAACATGTTTAATAGCAAATTGCATATTTTCTTAGCCTTTGCTGCACAAACTGCGATAACAAAATATTTGGAAATCTTGTTGGTCCTATTATATGACCTTTTCCTTTTAGCAGCGCCGACGGTAGTCGTTGAGGTGCTAAATCATTTGTCGTTTGCTTATAATTTATTTGGGTAACATGTTGGTCATGTTCCAGACTCAATAATAGAGGCCTCTTTCCACATATCGTGGTTGACCTAGAGACCTGCAAAATGTAATAAAGAAGCTAGTAACAATACATAACGTGGTTGTTGCCATTTGCCAATGGACAATGGTTTTGTTTTTCTTGTACGGACACATAAACATATCAGTAAGGCTACTAAATTGACTAAAAGAGTTAACGTGATTTATTAGGCTGCAATTTGCCCCAGTGTAATCGTGTTAGACTAGGTTATGGTAAATACATTTCACATACCAACAAGCATTAATTTTAATGGAAGAAGTTATGACCACTCAAGTACAAAATTTCAAAGTTAAGTCTGTGAGAATGTAAAAATGTCTTTGAGAGAGTTATTTTTAATTAGGTTCGACAATATTTAAATGTGACTCAGATAAATAACTATATAAAAAACATTTCACATCAATAAAAAAATAAGGATTACTTAGAATCATAAAATTTAAAAGTTAATATTTTATATATGTATGTATGTATGTGATTTTATTGTTGTTTGTGTTGAGAGCATAATCTGTTTCTCATGTTACTTTTTCTGGCACCGTCCATAAGTGGTAAGGACATTTATGAATTATAATGGAGGTTGGGAAAATCATACGCAAGGACCTCACTAATGAGAGCCCCCAATTTGAGAAATAATGTATTAAAGAATCATAGTCCTTAATTGACTTTTGTTTAGATGAAAATGTCTTTTCTTTTTTCCCCCTATCACCCACTGTTCCGAGAAACTTAAGGATACTATTACCTACCACCTAAATTAATTCATTAGGATGGAATTTGAGATCTCATCATAAATTGATTCAACTTTTTTAACTAATTAAACCAAATACTTCTTGATAAATGAAGATGTCTTTTGAAAAAACAGTACATATTTAAATTCTAGACAGTTTACTTGTACACAAATTATGCGCAATTCACAATTTACTTGTAAATTACAGAAGCTTGATTTGAAAATAATTTACCATTGAGCTTCTGTAATTTACAAGTAAATAAATTTTACATGGTTTACAGTTGAACTTGTATAACTTGTTAATGTAATTTACTAAGATTCTTGAATGTGATTTTCCCTACATTTTTTTCATCTCAATTTTATTTAGAAAAAAAAAGGATCATGAAACTTTGACATTTATGAATGTGGAAATTTTGGCATGAGTAAAAATTGGGCACCTATTGCCACTATGTTTTGCCTTTTTATTTTGGCCATAACCTCATCCACTTTTTCGTGTATGCTTTGAATAGGGTCTTAACTCTTACAATGTCTTTTATGTTTAAAATATTAAATAAAAGAATGAACTGCCATGCTCATATTTTAATGCAAATATTAAACATATAATAAACATGATTGAGAAATGAGTTGAATGTAAATTAAAAAAATTCATACGTAATATTAAGACTTCTCTCGCTCTCTTCCATGAGCCGTACACATCCAAAAGTATATGAAAAATTACATTCAAATACCCCCACAACACAATTAAATATGAAGAGATTTATTTAACAAATTGGGCATATCAAAATGGCAACTAAATATTACAATTGTGAGAACCATAATATTGGATTTTAAAAAAAAATCCATCACACTCCACCCTTTGAGGGAAGCAAAAGGGTAAATGGAACGCATCAACGAAACAATCTATATACAAATTCAAGACTTGCCCACATCTATTCCTAGCACTACTGAGACAAATCATGGCAAAAAAAAAAAATGTTGGATTCTTGAGCATACCTGATTTACAAAATTATTACAGACTAAACCAATTATTACTATAACTTTTACAGTTTATATTATGATTAGGTTAGCCTATCGGTCTTTTGCATGTCAAATCCACTTAACATCTTTCCCCAAAAACTTCAGTTTAACGACCAAAGAGGTAATCATCGTCCTCAAACTCTGAAACACCTAACATTGCCAAAGCCAAATGACCTTTGATCTCTGTGTTTGCTTCTTGTAACTGACGATAAGAATCAATGATGGAGCCATTCGCACGAAAAGAAGACTTCCTCCTTTTAGTGAAGATTTGTTCTTCGCCTTTCAGTATCGCGATGATCTCCTTGATGCTGGGTCTTCGAGATTCTTCATTTGTGACACAGGCTGCTGCAGCTCCAATCATTCTAGATATCTGGTTTGAGGATTTTAAGGTGCATTTGATCACTTGAGGATCGAGCAGCTCCTCAATGGCTTCTTTCCCTTTCGGAAGCAATGGTTTAGCCTGCCAATGAAAGCCAGACTAGATGTGAGTCGACAAGGCTCAACTGTAATTCAAACTTCAAAGAAGACAAAATTTAGTAGTTTGAAACAGTGTTAATATCAGAGAGACGTGTTACTAAGAGATGTAACACAATGAAGAAATTACCAAAAATGATGGTCTCAAGCATATGCCTTCTGTTTCTCAAATTGTTTTTTGTAATTTAATTTCCTACTGCCTTCAATATTCCATTTTTCATATCTATTCAAGAGGAATTGTCTTGCTTGACAAGACAGATTCTCTAAAAGAAAAAAAGAAGTAAATAAATTAAACTAGTAATGGATTTAGCAAGTTTTTATAGTTTGATAGGCTGATTTTCATTTTTGGTATAACTATTTTGCATTACGAGTAGCTCTTCCAGTGTAATTTTTTTTCCATCCACAAAATTCAAAACATTGACCTTGCCTAAGGGATATCGAGTCCCTTTCGCTCAACCCGAACGTAGTTAGTTTTCGTAAGCTGACTTCTTTTTTTAACAATAATCAGTACTTTCTGTCTGTTTCTTATAGGAGCTGATTTATCTTGACGTTAGGAGCTGATGCCATAAAGACATCATTGTTTTCTGCAAAGTCAATGAACAGCACAAGTAGGACTTAGCTTGTGCTTACAAGTTATGATTTTCTGGTTATTCTCAACCACAAACCATTTGAAGAATCAGTTCAACCACAACCAAATCACAAACCAGCACAAGTTTGCAAGAATCAAAGAATTAACCTACCCATGACACCAGATTCTCTTCTCCCGGTGGCCTTCTTGCTTCGATCGGCTTTCGTCCGGTTATGAGTTCCAACAACACCACTCCAAAGCATAAACATCAGTCTTATCTGACACCTTCCCATGTTGGAAATACTCAGGAGCCAAATAACTATATGGACAAAACAGAAATGCCGAAAGAAACTGATTCAGTAAATTGAATAAGAGAACAAATCATCCCAAAAAAAAAAGAGGTAAAAAATTTTGACAGAATATTTAAGAGGGGTCAAGTTTTTACCCAAATGTTCCTTTAACAGTTCTGCAAAGGAAATGAATCGAAGGTGCTGAAGTCCATGTAGCTAATCCAAAATCACATAGCTGTAACATGACAAAACAATCCATCAGAATTACTTGCATGATCTAAGTTAGAGTCTGAAATCCTGAATAGTTTGATTATAAATCTGATCTCAAAGAAAGCATCTAACCTTGGGAGACTTTCTAGAGGAAAGAAGAATGTTAGAGGGCTTAATGTCTCTGTGAACAACACATCTTTTGGTTCCATTATGCAGATAAGAGATTGCTTCTGCGATCCCAACTGCAACTTTATACCTCACAGACCATGGCAGTGGTGAATTTCCCTTTACACCCTTCTTCTGCCCTGTGAATAGGCATTAATGTTTGTAAGTATACCTGAGTCAGTGAAACTCATGAATCTGAAATGAAACAAGCCCACACGAAATAAGATTCAGAGAGAGGTAAGAACCATGCAAGTGATGCTCTAAGCTGCCTCCTGAGACGAATTTGTACACCAGAAACAAACCCTCCTCCGGATCAGCACAAAAACCCACAAGCGGAACAACGTTTGGGTTATGAAGAGAGCTAGCAATCATCAATTCTCTACAAAACGACTTTGCACTTTCCTTGTCTTCTTTGTCCAATCTCTTAATTGCAACGGCACTCCTCAGGAGCCCAATTTTTCCTCTGAAAACACAGCTCAAAGCCCCTCTTCCCAATACTCTGCCTGCTTATAAGATAACAATGAACTGCAATCTCTTAAACATGGCAACATATACAGTGTTTTAAGTTTGATTTGAAGTACCAAATGTTTCATAGAATAACCCAGAAAAATTGATTACCTTCGGAGAAATTTTGGGTAGCTGACAGGATTTCACTGTAGCTGAATGTGATCAGAGTATTGGTTACTGGATATATGGTTTTGTTCAATGAATATATTCTCCACCATCTCAGCTCTCGAGCTCGAGATTCACTCATCCCATTGTCCAAATTCACCATCAAAACCGTCGCAGCAGCGGAAGAGCTCATTTCCAAAGATTCCAGCTCAACCTGAGAACATATGTTGAATCTGAAAGATGAATGAACCGATTGTGGATCGGCATTCGTCGACTCCGCCGGACACCCACCGGACTCCGCCAGTAGCCACGCCTTGTTTTTGTCCTGACCCTGAATCTTCCCAGCGTTCCGCCGGCGACGAGGCAGGGTAATACAAGCAAACCCAATCATCCAGACCATTTTTCTCCAAGTGCTTCTAAATTTGAGCTTGTTAAAGTCGTAGTGATCTGTGGTTGTATCAGAAGCATT